CTCAAAAAATTAGTAAATGAGGTAATTTATCGTGTTGATTAATGCAGTACTGTTATTAGTAGTTGTACACAATTTTTCGTGTTTCCTCTTTCTTCGATTTTACAACTTTTTGGTATCACAATTTTTTTTTATTTTCTTTAGTTTTTCATTTTTTTCAGTTTTCAATGTTTCGGTTTGATAAATAATTTTTTGTTTTTTCAGCTTTGATTTTTTGAAATTTCCAGTTACTCTACTTAGAAATTTTTCAGTTTTTCGTTTCTTCAGTTTTTCGATTTGCAGTTTTTCGGTTTTGCAATTTTTCAGTATTACAATTTTTCATTTTTCCATGTTTCAGTTTCTCAATTTTAATTTTTCGTTTCCTCGATTTTTAATTTTCGTTTTCTCGATTTTTTGTTTTTGTTTTCTCGATTTGACATCATAATTTTTCATTTCTTCATTTCCTTTATTATTTCTATGCTTTTATAATGTTTTAAATTGTTAATCTTCGATTTTTCAAATCCTCGTTTTTTCAATTGTTAAATTTTTCAATTTTGCAATTTTTGGATTTCTCAATTATCAGATTTTTCGATTTCTTCAATTTTCTATATTTAGATTTTACAATATTACATTATTTCGATTCTGAAGTTTTCCAATTTTTAAGTTTCTGAATTTTTGATTCTTAGATCTTTAATTTTTCGTTTCTTCAATTTTTCATGTTTTTGATTTCCAGTTTGAAAATCTAATTTTTCAAATTTTTCATTTTATACTGTTAGGTTTTTCAATTTCTTCATTTTTTTTATTTGAAAATTTCAACTTTTTGAAAATCGAAAACTTGAAAAATTATTGGTATTGTAGGTCTTAAAAACTTAAAAATCGAAAAATTGGAAAATCCCAAAAATTGTCAAAAGTCAAAATCTGTAACACTCAAGGATCGAAAAACTGAAAAATAGAAGAAATGAAAAAAGTTTTAAAATCCAATAATTGAAAAATGAAAAGATTCTAATTTCGTAAAATTGAAAAATTGTAAAATTTTAAAAAATATAATTATATATTTAAAATAAAAACTAAAAGATTTGCTAATTAAAAATTGAAGAAACGAAAAACTGATAAATCGAGAAATCGAAAAATCTAAAATTGAAACAATGAAACGCCAAAAAATCAAAAATTTATTAGAAAATTGAAAAATTTTACATTGAAAAAAAAAAGGTAAAAACAAAACATCGAAAACCGAAACATTTAAAAAATTAAGAAAGTGAAAAGCCGAAAATTGCAATTGGGAAAACTGAAGAAATGAAAACTAAAGATCGAGAAATGAGAAATTAAAAATTGCAAAAGGGAAAAATTAATACATCCAGAAGTTGGAACTTCGAAAAACTAAAAAATTAAAACTCCAAGTGTTACATATCGTAAAATTGAAGAAACAAAAAAAATGAAAAATTGTGAAGTTTCAAATCGAAAAATTAAAAAAATCGTCAAAAACTGAAAAATGAGAAACTGCAAAATCAAAAAAGTAGAAAAACGAAAAATTGAAAAACTGACAAGTTAAAAACAGGAAAACTAAAAAAATCGCCAAAAATTGGAAAACGAAAAAACGAAAATCTGCAAAATCAAAAAAGTAGAAAGTTGAAAAATTGCAAATCGAAGAACTTAAGAAACGAAAAATTGCAAATTGAAGAACTGAAGAAACGAAAAATTGAAACATTGAAAAACTAAAAATCGAGAAACTCAAAATCTAAAAAACAAATCGAATCGAAAATTTGGAAAACCCAAAAAATTGCAAAGTCGAAAATTTGTAACACTGAAAGATCGAAAAACTGAACAAGTTTGAAAACCCAATAATTGAAAAATGGAAGGATTCCAAAGTCGTCAAAACGAATGAAAACTGAAAAATCTGAAATTGAAACAACGAAAACACAAAAAATCAAAAATTTATTAAAAAATTAGAAAATTTCACATTGAAAATATGAAAAATGAAAAATCAGAACATGAAAAACCGAAAAATTGAAAAAATTAAGAAAATATAAAGCCGAAATTGCAAATCGAAAAACTGAAGAAATGAAAAATTAAAAATCGAAAAATTAATACATCCAGAAGTTGGAAATTCGAAAAAATGAAAAATTTAAAAATGAAACCTCCAAGAGTTACATATCGTAAAATTGAAGTAGCGAAAAAATTGAAAAATTGTAAAGTTGCAAATCGAAAAATTGATAAAACGAAAAACTGAAAAAATTGAAATTGGAAAAACAAAAAATGATAAAATTGGGACCTTGAAAAATCGAAAAATTGTAAAAATAAAGAAAATGAAAGAGCAAAACGAAAAATTGCAAGGCGAAAATGTGAAAAATTTTAAAATTGGAAAATGAAAAACTGAAAAATCGACAAATTAAAAATCGAAAAACTAAAAAAATCGGCAAAAATTGAAAAATGAAAAATTGAAAAAACGAAAAACTGCAAAATCGAGAAGTTGCAAATCGAAGAACTAAAAAAACGAAAAATTGAAACACTGAAAAACTAAAAATTGAGAAACTTAAAAATCGAAAAATATTTAAAATGCGAACTAAAAAAATTGCAAATCGAAAAACTGAAGAAATGAAAAACTAAAAATCGAAAAATAAAATATGAAAAATTCTTGAAAATGTAAATCAGAAAATTGCAAAACCTAAAAATTAATACATGCAGAAGTCGGAAATTCAATAAAGTGAAAAATTTTAAAATGAAAACTCAAGAATTAAAATTGAAGAAACCAAAAAAACGAAAAATTTAAAAAATTGAAATTGGAAAAGCAAAAAATGACAAAATTGGGACCTTGAAAAATCGAAAAATTGTAAAAATAAAGAAAATAAAAAACCGAACGAAAAATTGCAAATAGAAAATTTCAAAAATTCAAAAATTGGAAAATTGAAAAAAACGAAAAAGTAGAAAATCGAAGAACTGAAGAAACGCAAAATTGAAACATTGAAAAATTACAATTGAGAAACTTAAAAATTGAAAAAATTAATGAATCGAAAAATTGGAAAACCCCCAAAAGTCGAAAAGTTATAGAATTGTCAAAATTGTCGAAAATCTGTATCACTGAAGGATCGAAAAATTGAAAAATCGAAGAAATGAAAATTTAAAATTCAATAAATGAAAAAAATGCAAAAATTCCAAAGTCATAAAATTAAAAAAGTGTAAAATTTAAAAAATTATAATCATTAGTACATATTTAGAATGAAAACTAGAAAAATTGCAAATTAAAAATTGAAGAAACGAAAAACTGAAAAATCGAGAAACTGAAAAATCTAAAATTGAAACAACGAAACAAATCTAAAATTTATTAAAGAGTGCAAAATTTCACATTGAAAAAAATAGATAAATCAGAATATTGAAACACTGAAAAATTGAAAAAATGAAAAAAATAAGAATCCGAAAGTTGCAAATCATTTTTGAAATCGGAAAATTCAAGAAAAGAAAAATTGAAAAATTAAAAAAACGAAAAACTGCAGATTCGAAAAAGCGGAAAATCGAAAAACTGAAACATTGGAAAACTAAAAATCGATAAACTTAAAAATCGAAAAAATTAATAAATCGGAAAATTGGAAAGAAGTAAAACGAATCGAACCTGAAAAATTAGAAAACCCAAAAATTTTGGAATTGAAAAATTATGGAATCGTCAGAACTATAAAGTCTCAAACCTAACATTGAAAGACCGAAAAATTGATAAAATAAATATCGAAATGTTCAAAAAATTTAAAATCGTAAAATTGAAAAAGTGTACAGTTTTAAAAATTTGAATTACTAAAGTTGTAAATCGAAAATTTGAGTAAATGAAAAATTAAAGAATAAAAATTGAGAAATTCAAAAGTTGGAAATTCGCAAAAATAAAAAATTGTAAAATTGCAAATCGATAAATTGTAAAAATGAAAAATTGAAAAAAAAAATTATAATTATAAAGAACATAAAAACCACGAAAAATTGCAAACTGGAAATTTGAATAAGTGAAAAATTAAAGAACAAAAATTGAAAATTCGAGAAACTGAAAAATCTAAGCTTGAAAAAACGAAAAATTAGAAAATCTACAATTTAATTAAGAACTGAAAATTTGAAAAAATAAAGAAAATAAAAAGCCGAAAATGGCAAATCGAAAAACTGAAGAAATGAAAAGTTGAAAAATCTAAAAACTGAAAAATTTAGAATTGAAAAATCGTAAAATTGCAAATCAAAAAATCGCAAAATCTAATAATTGGAACATCTACGAATTGGAAATTCCAAAAACTAAAAAATTTTTTATAATTTTTCAAAGAAGCGCGATTTGTTGGGCTGCAGGTACTTCCGGGACGAGGAACCTTCTATCGAAATAACCTCCGACTATTTTTTTTTAAACCTGATTTTTTTCTTTGCTTCATCCATTCTTCACCCTTATGTGAAAATTTTGAGCAGTGTTCGGATTGCTGAGAAATTCGTATTATGGTTTGACGCAATCGTGTTCTGATAAAGACGTGTTCATATTAAAGAAGTTGTTATAGTTCCAGAGAATTTACGACCGAAATATTTTATAGCTACTTCTCTTGTAATTCTGCGCACTAAAGAGCGACGTTTCTGCTTCGTAATTATTTTCTAGCTTATTTGCTTCATATTTTCGGCCAGATACAACTCTTTCTGGGCCATTTAATATCCTGACCGTGGTTTTATTCATCAGGCAGTTTTTTGTTTGGCTTATGATATAAACACGCCAACTTACCCACATCGCGGACTACAAGTAGGAAATGAATTCAAAATGTGGACTGTTCCCACGACACGTTGGAAAATATATGAGTTTTATCAGATTTTCTTGCAAAAAAATTAATAACATACAACAACACGTCTCGAGTTGCGTCATTTTCATCAGGATATGGAAATAAAATGACGAAATAGAAAAAGTCGTGTCTGTATAGGATCACCTTCGAGTTCTTGTTTAATGAGATTGGACGTGTGCTTGTAACACGCATGTGATCTTTCGAAGAGATTTGCTCGAGAGGAGGATCGGCATTGAATGAAAGCGCTTTATAATTAAATAATGATATATTTCCCAATGATGACGTTAACTAATTATTTACAATTTAATAGCCGATAACTACAGTACTATCATACATAATTTACAAACTTTGGTTCTTTTTTGTAAGAAATCTCTGTCGCAGTTAAATAGGTGTATAAACAGCTTACAACTATATCCTATTTAAGTGAACAAATATTGGTAAAACACACTGAGATAAAATTTTCATAATAATAGTGACGTGTCTCGCGGTAATTGTCATTGTTTATTTATTGTCTCGACGTTACAAAAATAGCCAGTCTTAAATATTGTACAAAACATATAACTCTCTATGTACGCTATGTATACAATAATTTACACTAAAAATAGCGATTTACATCTCTGTGCTTAATATCAAAAGGCACTCTCCAGATGCCAAGATCTTGTCGGAGTATTTAAAACCTGTTTGCACACCACTAAACTTATTACAAAATCGTAAATTCAACCTAATCCGAATGGAAGAGCAAACAACTCTGTGTACCGGAGAATTTACCTAAAACCGAAATTTTCAGGTTACATTATCTGTTTGACGTCATCCGGAGCTAACAATCGCACTGGCCATAACAACAATTCGAATAACAACAAAGATTGCACAAAATCAGCTACTATAGCACGTTTTCCGCACGTCCGCCAGAATCTCACTAAAATCATCATCGTTCTTAGTCACCACGCCATTCTGGCCGATGTCGTACACTTCTGGGTAGTGACCCAGCAAAGGTTCCGGCTTCACACTGGTATTGGGCAAAATCACAGACGTATGTTGGGCTTGGAAGTTGTAAGTCACGTTCGAACTCAAGTCGTTCCTGTGGTAGTTGTGATTCGAATCGATCATATTGGACTCGGTACCACCGAACTTGAGGTACTTGTCGAACTCGCGGGTGTCCACGTCGCTATCGACGTCGCTTCTCTCCTCCTGCGACATGTACGAGGAGACGATGGTACTGTTGGGGTACTGCGGCTGGTACTGTTCCTCCATCCCCGGCGACTTGTAGTTGTTCATGTTCTCGCCGACGTCCCCTTTAAGAGTACTCTGGTAAGGCAAGAAAGCCTCTGGTTTGCTTTGAGTCTCAGGCGGCTCATACCCGGTGTTGGTACTCTGATAGTACTGCTGCATCCCCGGGTTGTAATAGTGTATATTGGGCGAGTTCGCCATCGTGTTGAGGTTGTTCTGCCCGGTACCTAGTAGTTGCTGGTCTTGCGATGTGGCCACCGGCGGATAGAACGTCCCAGTGACCACGTGCCCTTGCTCCACCGAGCTCTTGTTAGCGCACATCACGTACAGCCCGTTGGCCATCGGTACCGACGTAATCGGCTGCGTATTCGTGTAGGTACTGTTCGGCCGGTAGTTCTGGACCCTCGTGTTGTAGCTCTGCTGCGCCGGATTCGTCAGACTATTCGTGTGCTGGATGCTCGACACCCTCTTCTCCTCGAACTGCTCCTCCATGGGACTCAGCTCGGGAGTAGGCAGCGCGTCCTCCCTCGGACTCTCCTTAGCGCACTCCGGGCTGTTGGACTTCTTGGGCTCGGGACTGTGCGCAGGCGACGCATCCGGCGTCTGCATCGAATACGGACTCTTCTGATAACTCTGGTACCCCACGTAGTTGTACTGGTACTTGAAACTATCCGGGCTGTACCGCTTCTCCTGGAACTCGCCGCCCCCCGGGCTCGGGAAGTCCATCCCGTAGCTGTTCTGCTGCAGCCCCGGCGACAAGCTCGCGTTGGGTATGTACCCCGTGTACCTGGGGGACATGTTGGGCAGGCTGGGGCTGGGCAAGGACGTGCCGACGCGGGGGCCCGCGCCGGAAGTGGCGCGCTGCTTGTTGTGCTTCCGCCGCCGCGGCCGGTACTTGTAGTTGGGGTGCTCGGTCATGTGGATCACGCGGAGGCGCTCGGCCTCCTCGACGAAGGGTCGCCGGTCCTGGGGGGTGAGGGAGCGCCACTTCTTGCCTGGAACAAACGAGCCGAATCAGTACCGGTAAAGCACGGGTCCGCCTGTCGCGCTTTGTGGGACGCCTCCGAAAATCTCGTTAATGAGAAAATATGGGCAGGCGGACGACAAATGCGTCGTTAAAGGGGCATTGTCCGAAATTTGTGTGACACGGAGCGGTTTTGATTTAGGAAGTCCGTTTTGTTGGGTGCGAGCGGCCGGGAATTAATTGTGGGTCATGTTTATGCATGGGGTAATTAAGAGAGCGATTTATTGCGAGGTGGTCGTTAACAAGGAAGAGATTTGCGAGTGCCGGATAAACGGCGCGGCTATCGCGTGATTTATCATTTATTAATAATTAATGGCGGCTGGGTTGTTTACTAATTTTACACTATCTGCACTTATCGGGGGATCTGGCGCGGAATTTTATTTATGGATGATCCAAAGTGTGATTTATGCTGCGAGCGGACGGTTTACTTCGTTCTTTGATCGCTTAATTTAGCGGAACTCGGAGCAGGAAGTTCTTATCGTAATTCACGCTTATCTGGGATCTCGGAAACTTTTCCCATGTATGAATTTTTTAAGTTACGGGGACGGCTTTCGGCGTCGTCTTGTAGGAGAGCGGAGGAATGGTGCGTTTTAATACGTTTCACTGGTGTGCCACGTACGAGTCAGTACTGAACGGTAAATTGAGGTGGCATCTCTTTGTGATATGGATACTATTTAAAGTATACAGTCGAGTTCAATTGTGGCGTCGGCTTTGGGTGCTTACGAGAAAGTCACTATCTGTGCAGTTGGTACCCAAAGTGGTACTTTAACGGGAAAAATGAAACGCTACAGACATTTTAATTTTTTTGTTTCTAGATTTTTCAGTTTTTCGATGTTTTAATTTTGCAATTATATGGAATTTTTAAATTTTCGATTTTTCAAGTTTTCAAAGTTTAATTTTTCATTTCCATTTTTTAGTTTTTCAACAAAGGGGCAAATTTATTCAAACTGAAATTTAGGAGATATTGGAGTATTTTCCTTGGCAGATGTTATATTTCGGGGAAAAATGAAATAATCTCACAATCTGAAAAAGTGAAAAACGAAAAATCCAAAAACTGAAAAAGCGAAAAATTAAAATACACTCAAACTCAAAAAAAAAACAGAAAGCTGCAAGGCGAGACATCGAAAAAACGAAGTACTGAAAAATGGATTGCGGAATTTTTGTAAATTCTTGAATTCTTCGATTTTAGCATTTCAAAATTTCTAGTTTCTTCCGATTTTTCAGTTACTCCATCTTTCACTTTTTATTTAGCAATTTTTCGAATTTACTCATTTTTGATTTGAATTTTTTCATTTATTGGTTTTTTGTTTGTTTAATTTTTCGGATTTTCAACTGAATTTTTTTATTTTCTTTTTTCAGCCTTTCGATTTGCAATTTTTTGCATCATCAACTTTTCCGTTTCAATTCTTGAAATATTTAATTTCTGGATTTTTCAATTTTTGATGTTTCAATTACATTTTTCGATTTTTAATTTCCCAATTTTTCGGTTTTTAGATTTTTCAAATTTTCGATACTTTAGTTTTCCAGTCATCTATACACAGTTTTTTGATTTTCAATTTTTCAAGTTTTCAGTGTTGATTTTTTTTATTTTTTTGGATGTTTAATTTTTATTTTTCACAAAAAAGATCAGTTTTTTTTAAATTGAAATATTTTCAAAATTCAAAAACTGAGAAAATAAAAAATTAAAAAATATGTAACACTCAGAAATTGTAAAATCACACTGCAAGTCGAAAAATTGAAGAAATGAATATTGTAAAATCGATTTTGAAATTTTTGAGGATTGTTGAGTTTTTTTGAGTGTTTTTCGATTTTACCATTTTTGAATTTTTAGATTCTTCCGATTTTTGTGTCATTTCATTTTCGATTTTCATTTTTTAGTTTTGTTTCTAGAGTTTTTGAATTTTTTGCTTCAACATTTCGATGTTTCAATGTTTGGATTTTTCAATTTTTCGAATTTCAATTTCTCGAAAAAGATAAAATCGAAAAATGGCTAAATAAAAATCGAAAAATGGAATAGCCAACTATTTTTCGATTATTTTTATTTAGCAATTTTTCGTTTTACCTTTTTCGAGAAATTGAATTGGCTAAATAAAAATCGAAAAATACAATAGCTAACTATTTTTATTTTTTTATTTGCAATTTTTCATGTTTTAGTTTTTTATTTCTTCAGTTCTTCGATTTTTTTTAATTCTTTGATTTGCAGTTTTTTGCTTCATCAATTTTTCGATGTTTTAGATTTCAATTTCTAAATTTTTGGATTTTTCAATTTTCGATGTTTCAACTACTCGAATTTTCAATTTTTAGATTTTTCAGTGTTATAACTTCGTACTCGTTCAATTTCTCAATTCGATTTTTCATTTTTCCAATTGTTTGATTTTTAATTTTTCAATTTTCGATTTTTAATTTTCCTATATTTAGATTTTCAATTTTTTAAGTTTTCGACAAAAAGAATACATTTATTTAAACCGAAATTTTGAAAATTTGAAAACTAGGAGATTTTGGATTATTTTCCCTGATAACAATTTGAAAAATCGAAAAATCCAAAAACTGAAAAAATTAAAAATAAAAAAATATATAAAACTCAGAAATTGTAAAATCAGACAACTGCAAGTCCAAAAATTGAACAAACGAAATATTGTAAAATCCGTTTTGAAATTTTTTAGGGTTCTTCAGTTTTTCGGTTTTACGATTTTTGAATTTTTAAAATTTTCCGATTTTTCAGTTATTCCATTTTCCGATCTTTAGGTAGCTATTTTTCAAAATTATGATTCCAATTTTTCATAGTTTTTCGAGTTTTTCGAATTTTTAAAATTTTCCTTTTTTCAATTTTTCGATTTACAATTTTTTGCTTCATCAACTTTTCAGTTTTTCAATTCTTGAATTTTTGAATTTTTCATGTTTTAGTTTCTCGAAAAATGGCTAAATAAGAATGGAAAAATGAAATATCTATTTTTCGATTTTTATTTAGCAATTTTTCGATTTTACCATTTTTCGATTTGCAATTTTTCATTTTTTAGTTTTTTGTTAAGGTGGAATTTTAATTTTTTGCAATTTTTGGGTTTGTATTTTTTTTTGCTTCGTTAATTTTTCGAAGTTTCAATTTTCAATTTTTGAATGTTTGGATTTTTCAGTTTTTGAATTTTTGAATTTTTCAACTTTTAATGTTTCAATTTCTCGAATTTTCAACTTTTATGTTTTTCAATGTGACAATTTCGTATTCGTTCAATTTTCCAAATCGATTTTTCATTTTTTAGTTTTTTGATTTTTAGTTTTCCAAATTTTAGATGCTTCAGTTTTTAGATTTTCAAAATTTCAAGTTTTCCACAAATCGAACAAATTTATTTAAACCGAAATTTTGAAAATTTGAGAACTAGATTTTGGATTATTTTCCCTGATAGACGTTACATTTCGAATCGAAAAATCCAAAAACTGAAAAAATTAAAAATTAAAAAATACTTATATAAATTCAGAAATTGTAAAATCAGACAACTGGAAGTCGAAAAATTCAAAAAACGAAATATTGTAAAATCGATTTTGAAGTTTTCGAGGATTCTTCAGTTTTTCGATTTTATCATTTTTGAATTCTTAAATTTTTCCAATTTTTTAAGTTTACCCTTTCTCGATTTTCAATTTTTCATTTTTTAGTCGTGTGTTTCTTCAGTTTTTCGAATTTTTTAATTTTCACTTTTTGAGTTTTTGAATTTTTCAATTTTTGATGTTTCAGTTTTCCGAATTTTCAATTTTTAGATTTTTTAATGTTATAATTTCGACCTCTTTCAATTAATTTCCCAATTCGATTTTTCATTTTTCAGTTTTTTGATTTTTGTTTTTCAATTTTGCGATTTTAATTTTTCGAATTTTTAGATGCTTCAGTTTTTCAATTTTTCGATTTTATGACTGCAATTTTTGATTTTCACTGTTTCAAGTTTTCAACAAAACGAACAAATTGATTCAATTTGAAATTTTGAAAAATTGAAAACTACAAGATTTTGGATTATTTTACCCGATACACGTTAGATTTCGTCTGACAATTTGAAAAATTGAAAAAATAAATTAAAAAATATAGAAAACTAGAAAGTCGAAAAATTGAAGAAACGAAATACTGTAAAAACGATTTTCAAGTTTTTGAGGAACCTTCAGTTTTTCGATTTTATCATTTTTGAATTTTTAGATTTTTCATTTACCTATTCCATTTTGCGAGTTTTAGTGAGTTTACCCGTTTTCGATTTCCAATTTTTCATTTTTTAGTTTTTTGTTCCTTCAGTTTTCCGTATTTTTTAATTTTGCTTTTTTTCAATTTTTCTATTTACAGTTTTTGCTTCATCAATTTTTCAATATTCCAATTTTTCAATTTTTCAATTTTTGGATTTTTCAATTTTCCTATTTGTCAGCTTTATGATTTTCAGTTTTTCAAAATTAAAATTCGAAAAAGTGCAAACTGAAAAAGGAAAAAGTGCAAACTGAAAAATGAAAAAGTGCAAACTGAAAAATGAAAAAATAAAAAAATTGAACAAATGGAAAACTGAAAAATTGGAATCACGAAAATTTGAAAGTTGGAAATCCAAGAATTAAAAATCGCGAAACGAAAAATCGTAAAATTGAAAAATTGAAAAATTAAAATCAAGACACTAAAAAATCGAAAACATGATCAATTAAAATACTCAAAAATTGAAAAACTGCTATTTAAAGAACTGTAAGTCCAATAACTAAAAAATCGAAAAGTGTTCAATTGAAAATTTGGGAAAATGGCAAAACTGAAATCTCTAAAAATTCAAGAGTTGATAAATAACACCGAGTAACTAGTGATTGAAGCCAATTTTTGTGTTGTCAATTCTGAATTATTGGTAGCAATGCTAGTATCTCAGTTCATAGTTGGCAATTTTGACAACAGCGCGCTTAACAAACGTGTTGAGAAACTGACTTTGTGTCATAAATTTCAAACTGACAATCAGGTGTGCCATCATTTTTCGA